GAGGCACTGAATTTCTTTCTTGTATTAGAGCCACCGGGAACACCTAAAACCCCATACAATGACAAGAAGAGGAGAAGAGTAGATCTAAGAGCTTGGTTTAGTTTCTTTGAGACATAAAAAGAGTGAAACTATTGTAATAAATGTGTAAAGAGAGAACATTATAAGATGGAAAGTGGCGGCCATTTTTGTTGTTGTTGAAAAGAACAGGAAGTTCTGTATTGCCGCAGGGGCTCGATGGTTTGCCAGGTATGATAAACAAGGGAAATAACTAAAGAGTTTTGTCCTAACTTTTGTTGGAACTTTTGAGGTACTGTATGATGAGGTATTGTTTTGACATATTATTATGATATTGTATTGAAAGATATGTTCGGTATGACGGCATGGTATGGTACGTTATGGTGTGGTATGGTATAGTGTGGTATGACGGCATGGTATGGTATGGTATGGTATGGTATGGTATGGTATGGTATGGTATGGTATGGTATGGCATGGTATGGCATGGCATGGTATGGTAGTGTATGGTATGGTATGGTATGGTATGGTATGGTATGCTATGCTATGCTATGCTATGCTATGCTATGCTATGCTATGCTAGTGTATGGTATGGTATGGTATGGTACAGTATAGTATGGTATGGTATGGTATGGTGTGGTGTGGTATGGTGTTGTATGATATGGTATGGGGAGGAGTGATGTGGGATGAGGTGGGGTGGGGTGGTATGGTATGGGGTGGGATGGTATGGGAGTGATGGGAGGGGAGGGGAGGGGAGCCATAAGTACCGTGGACGGACGCATGAAGCCCAGGTGGAGGATCAGACCTGGGGACACGTTACGTTTTGTACAGTGTAATGTTTGTTGTGATTTTTGTCGTGAATTTGTCGTAACTTTTTTCGGAACTTTGGTCGTATTGGTCGTAACTTTTGTCGTAACATTTGTCGTGAATTTGTCGTAACTTTTGAGATACTGTATGATGAGGTATTGCTTTGACATATTATGATATTATATTGTATGGTATGTATGGTATGACGCATGGTGTGGTATGGTGTGGTATGGTATGGTAAGGCATGGGGAGGGGTGGGGTGGGGTGGGATGGG